CTCATAGTCAAAGTTTCTCAGCAATTATATCAGCTCGAGATTCTGTGATATTAGATGAAATTATTGTGCTGAAATTGCTGAACCAAAAATGATATTAAATAAATAAATTAAATTGTACAAATGATATCTTTGCAGTTATAGAATAGAACTATCAGTTGTTGTTAATTATCGCATCAAAGTTTATTGCTTAGATCCAATAGCTTAAATTTAAACAACACACTGAAAATCACATTCAAATGTAAGTTTTCTTTCATCACAATTTCCACACCGAAAAATTCTATATTCCTATATAGGTCGCTTATTTTTTTCCATTGTAAAATTTTACTACAGGAAGTTAGTGGTTGTTTAGATCAGCTCGAAACTTTGGTTAGAAATTAATGAAGCAAGAAAATATTGAAACAAGTTCATGCGGAAATTTTGAAAAAAGAAAATCATTTATTGTTGATGCTGTGGTTGTTTGAGATTATTTCTGGTGCTGGAGCATAAAATTCAATTGCTGTTTTAAATTTTTGAGAACAGAATCTAATTGTTGTTTGCTTTTCAGAAGTTCTTCAAACATAGACTGTTGTTTTTGGAGTTGCTGAAGTGAAGGCTGCTTCTGCTTCAGTTGTTGGAGAAGTTCTTGTTGTTGTTGCATAAGTTGTTGGAATTGAGCTTGTTGTTGTCGAAGTTGCTGAAGAAGATCATGCATTTTCGGTGGTTCTAGAAGTATTTGTACGACAAGTTGTTGTTGTTGCTCTATAAGTTGTACTAGAAGTTGTTGTTGTTCGAGGAGCTGCTGAATAAGTGGTTGTTGTTGTTTGTATTGTTGAAGAAGTTGTTGTTGTAGCTGTAGAAATTGTTGAAGAAGAGATTGTTGTTTTTGAAGTAGTTGCTGATGAAAAGGTTGCTGCAGTGAAAGCTGAACTAGTCGCACTAGATGTTGAGATTGTTGGGAAAGTAGTTGTCTCTGTTGTTGAACTTTTGTAAGTACATTACGGTGTTGCTGAAGCAGTTGAAGACTTTTTTCAAGCCTTTGAATTTGTTGATTATAATCATTTTGATCTTGATGTCGAGATCGCTCGTGATTTTGTCGCATTTGTTTTTGAAGAAACGCTTCTTGCTGCACAACCGATGGCTGCATTGTTTGTTTTGGAGAATGCAATTGCTGCTGCAAAAATTGTTGAAGAATAGGTTGTTGTTCTTGAAGTAATTTTTGCTGATCAGGTAGTTGCTGCAGTAAAGATTGGACAGTCTCTTGTCGCTGAAGAAATTGCTGCAGAATAACTTCTTGTTGTTCTTGAAGTTGGTTCAGAAATGGTTGGTGATGTTGAAGTTTTCGAAGGATAATCTGCTGTTTACGAAGAAGTTGTTGTATATTTTCACAGCTATACTGCACAAGTTCTTTACTAAATTGTTGTTGCTGTTGAAGACGCTGATCAAAGTGCGAGTGGTTTTGTTGTAGTTGTTTGAGTAGCTGTTGAAGTAGAAGTTGGTGAGGTGTAGAGTTTTGTTTTTTTAGAAGTTCCTGGAGAAGAGACTGTTCTTTTTCTATTTGTTCGACAAGTTGCTTTTGTGTGAGAAGTAGTTGAGGAGGGAATTTTTTCCTATTTTAGGTTGACAATGCTGTCATTGTTGTTGAAGAAGAAACTGCTACTATTGTCTGAGTTAATGTGAAAAAGACTGTTGTTACTACCGTAACACCTGGAGTTGTTGCCTAAAAAAACTAGAAAATAGAAATTACAGAATTTGTGATAGTGAAAATGTTCATTTAAAGAAGCTCACAAAAAGGCATTTTGATTTCCTACGGAACGTGACACCAGAGCGTAACTACTTAGATATCAGTAAAAGCTTTACTGATTGACTCAAGCTATTTCAAGAAATTGTAATTCCATCGTAGACATAGACTGAAGACGAGTGCTATCATAATTGAAACAAATTTAATACCTTTGAACAAAGTGAAAAAGCAATGATAAGAAGGAAAATGATTCCTTTCTTCATTTTCACCATCTCGATTAATCAAATTTGAACTAAAAGAAGGTAATGGAGTGTGAATCAAAACATTAAATGCTTGCATTTTTAAAGTTTTTAATTGAGTATAGAATTTTAAGCACTAATTAACAATCATTCGAATCAACAATACTAGTATACTACTTGGATTAGCCAAGCACCAAGCAGTTTATGATTCGAGAAATCTCGGTCAAATTCTTTTCTTTCTTTCCATGGCAGTGAAATCCTCCCTCCAGAATTGCATAATATTTCTAAAAGGGTTTTGTTTTGTAAAAGAAATTTATATTCTATCTTCTCCTTATGCAACCTTTGAGAAACTAAGAAGAAGCATTAAGTTTTTTAATTTTTGTCCAGTAGGAAAGCCATGGAATTATTGCACACTGAATAATTTGAGTTGTGCTGCAAAATTTGAAGAAATTTATATGCTATTTGTTTTATTCTGCTTTTGCAGAATTTTCCATTTGAAATGGGTTGAATTGAATTGAATTGAATTGAATTGAAAGCATTGTTTCCGAAATTGTATTTTTCATCCAAAACTTGGGGACAACATGCATTGCTTTCAGAAAATTCGCCGTATTATTGTTCTTTCTATTAAAATAGATGAATTTTGTTACAATAAAATAAATTAAAAGAATGGTTTGATTTCTTATTTTGTTATAATACAAACTTTTCTGATATTGAAAAACGCTTTTTGTCTTTACTCAATGCTTCTGCCTCTTTCTTTTCTTTAAAGGTATTACCAAAAACAATTAAACGGGTCGCTCATCAATTTTGGCATATCGGTGACAGACTGTTAAAGATGGAATAAGGTTGCTAATTTTGAAATAATGTTGTACATTGAAATGGGCGATGTGCTCTGCACAAATTGAAAATTTGAAAAGAAAAATTATTTACTTCTTTGAGAAGCTTACTGCATCACTGATCAGTTCTGAACTTTTTCCTTTCTTAATGTACTGTCATTTGAAACATCTTTTTCCGTTTCATTTGCTGCAACGACCGATACTTACTACTTACTGAACCATTCCACTGATTAATATGTTGATAAAGAGGAGGTGAATTACTTATTAACTTAATTACTTAGATCCTCTAAATTAATGCTCGTGCATGCTTAATTATTAAATCTAACAAATGATTTTAGTTCTTCAAACAGCTTATGACATTATAGTGAAGGTAAACAGTTTTCTCTTTATCCAAGCAATTTTTTAAGAGAAATTCTGAAAAATTCTTTGCGACACCAAATGAGTCCCCTATTAGCTGGTGATTGCTTAACTTTTTAATGATAAAAGGAAAGAAATTAGTGATCAGTTCATTTGAATGTAAAAAAAAAAAAAAAAAAAACACCAGATAAATCATTTGGTTTGCTTCAGCTTGTTTAAATGAAAAATGATGAAAAATGATTTCAAAAAAAAAAAATGAGCTAAGCAAATTTAATTTAAAATTGGCTGTTATTAGTGATAATTGGGTATTAGTAAGCTTAACAACAAGTCTTTCGCCATTTTTGTCGTTTGGTATCGATTTTGTGTGGAATTTGAGTTTGTCGGTGCTTTCTTATAAATTTTTCTCAATTAACAGCGAAAATTCTACAGGTTAATATGCGGAATATTCTCCATTATTATTCATTGGGAAAGAACGACTGTAAGCAATGAATAATGGTTTGTTGAATTTCTCTGAAAGGTTGCACGGATCGGCGGTAAAACGATTGTTAAAGTAACGGTATTTGTTTACTGGGAACATCTCTTTCTAAACTTTTCACTGATCATTTTAACTTAACGATATGATAACATAATGAAAAGAGAATTTATGCTACTGAATTTCATTTAACTCTCGCTCTGCTTTGTTGATTTAACTCATTGCTCTTCTCTACTTTACTTCTCCTTTAAAATTAACTTATACGTTTTGGTACTAAAATTTTTTGAATTTAAAATTCCAATATCTTATTGGCATTTAATTTCCGAGCACAAATCGTATTGCTGATAAAAAATGATTTTATTTTACATTTTCGATGTTACAAAAAAAAAATAATGATAGTAATTCAAGCAGTGGCATAATAATAGAAATTTTGATAATAACAACTTGAGGGTCTAATTTAATAAATATTTTCCGGAATGCACTATTAATAGAGAATTTGTTCCATCGGCGATTGAATTTTGTTTATATTTCCATCTGATTTTTTACTTTGGTCATATTTCGTACAATTAAATTTTTCTCATTTAAAAGAAAAAAAAAAGGTGAAAATTGGTAAATTAGAAATAAACGACAACTGATAACAGAATTTAGCAAAGAATAGTCAATGAAGTTATCGATTGAGTGTGGACAAAAACCGTTTTTGTATTATAACAAAAAAATAAGAAAAGTTTGTATTATAACAAAATAAGAAATCAAACCATTCTTTTAATTTATTTTATTGTAACAAAATTCATCTATTTTAATAGAAAGAACAATAATACGGCGAATTTTCTGAAAGCAATGCATGTTGTCCCCAAGTTTTGGATGAAAAATACAATTTCGGAAACAATGCTTTCAATTCAATTCAATTCAACCCATTTCAAATGGAAAATTCTGCAAAAGCAGAATAAAACAAATAGCATATAAATTTCTTCAAATTTTGCAGCACAACTCAAATTATTCAGTGTGGCAATAATTCCATGGCTTTCCTACTGGACAAAAATTAAAAAACTTAATGCTTCTTCTTAGTTTCTCAAAGGTTGCATAAGGAGAAGATAGAATATAAATTTCTTTTACAAAACAAAACCCTTTTAGAAATATTATGCAATTCTGGAGGGAGGATTTCACTGCCATGGAAAGAAAGAAAAGAATTTGACCGAGATTTCTCGAATCATAAACTGCTTGGTGCTTGGCTAATCCAAGTAGTATACTAGTATTGTTGATTCGAATGATTGTTAATTAGTGCTTAAAATTCTATACTCAATTAAAAACTTTAAAAATGCAAGCATTTAATGTTTTGATTCACACTCCATTACCTTCTTTTAGTTCAAATTTGATTAATCGAGATGGTGAAAATGAAGAAAGGAATCATTTTCCTTCTTATCATTGCTTTTTCACTTTGTTCAAAGGTATTAAATTTGTTTCAATTTGATAGCACTCGTCTTCAGTCTATGTCTACGATGGAATTACAATTTCTTGAAATAGCTTGAGTCAATCAGTAAAGCTTTTACTGATATCTAAGTAGTTACGCTCTGGTGTCACGTTCCGTAGGAAATCAAAATGCCTTTTTGTGAGCTTCTTTAAATGAACATTTTCACTATCACAAATTTTGTAATTTCTATTTTCTAGTTTTTTTTTAGGCAACAACTCCAGGTGTTACGGTAGTAACAACAGCCTTTTTCACATTAACTCATACAATAACAGCAAGAACAGTTTCTTCTTCAACAACAATGACAGCATTGTCAACCGAAAATAAGGATAAATCCCCTTCTCAATTGCTTGTCCAACAAATAGAAGAAGAACAGTCTCTTCTCCAAGAACTCCTGGAACAACAGCCTCACCAACAACTTCAACAGCTACTCGAACAACTACAACAAAACCATTCACACTTTCCGAATCGTCTTCAGCGGCAAGTGCAACTTCGTAAGGAACTTGAACAGAGTCATAGCTGTGAAAAAAAGCAAGAACTTCTTCATAACCAGCAACTTACCCTTAAACAACTTCAACAACAACAACCATTTCTGAATCAACTTCAAGAACAACAAGGAGTTATTCTTCAGCAACTTTCTCAGAGACAACAGACTGTCCAATCTTTACTGCAACAGCTACCAAAATTACTTCAAGAACAACAACCTATTCTTCAACAACTATTGCTGCATCAATTGCGTGCGCCAAAACAAACACTGCAGCCATCGACTTTCGTTCAACAAGCGCTTGACCTTCAAAAGCAAATGGAACGAAATCACAAGCAGTCTCGACACCAAGATCAAAATAATCTTAAAAATCAAATTCAACAGCGAGAACAACATCTTCAACTGCTTCAGCAATACGGTGATTTATCTGCAAAACTTCAACAACAGAGACAACTATTTCATCAACAGCTTCAACATATAGTGCTACTGATTCAGCTACTACAGCAGCTCCCTTATTATCAAAAATTACCTCAAGAACAACAAACTCTTCTTCAACAACTCCTACAGCTACAAGAACAACTTCTTCAGCAATACGAACAGCAACAACCACTTATTCAGCAGCTCCTCCAACAACAACAACAACTTGTGAAGCTTATGGAGCAACAACAACAACTTGTTGTACAAATGCTTCTAGACCCTCAGCAAATTTCTAATCTCCTTGACGAACTTCGCCGGCTAGAAGTCCAATTCCAAGAACTTATGCAACAACAACAAGAACTTCTCCAACAATTACAGCCGAAGCAGCCTTCACTTCAGCAGCTTCTCCAACAACAACAGTCTATCACTAAAGATCTTCTGAAAAGCAAAGAAAAATTGGATTCTCTTCTCAAAATTTTAAAACAATAATTGGATTAGCACCGGAAATAATCATTTCTCAAACAACCACAGTATCAAAAATAAGTGATTTCTTTTTCCTATGGGATATCTGTTTTATTTTTTTATTTTCTCTAAATCAACATGTAAACACGCTGCAATTTACAATTTATTTTTCAAAATTTCCACATGAACTTGTTCAGTGATTTCCTGCTTCATTAATATCGCATCAAAGTATTGAACTAATCTAAACAACTACCAACCAGTGGAAAAAGAAGTAGAACTACTACAAAAATATGAAAAATATCCGCGCAAAAAATTTTTCGATGCATAAATTTTAATGAATAAAAATTACATTTCAATATGACTTTTAGTGTGTTGTTTACATATAACATCAGCTTATGTTATTTTATCTGAGCAATAAACTTTGATGCGGCAATTAACAATAACTGACAGTTTTATTCTATAACTGCAAAGATATCATTTGTACAATTTAATTTATTTATTTAATATCATTTTTGGTTCAGCAATTTCAGCACAATAATTTTATCTAATATCACAGTATCTCGAGCTTATATAATTGATGAGAAACTTTGACTATGAGTAAACCAACTAAAAATCAGTTTAATCCTAATAATATGAATATTGGAAATATACTAGTTTCTTTTAAAGATATAAAAATCATATATATCTAGTAATCATATTCATCTTCAGTAACTCTGCGTAACTTAGATGGCAAACAGAAACTAAAGGAAAAACAAAAGCGATTTCAAACAATTAGTTTAATTCTATAAGATAGAAGTGTACATGCTAATGACCAACAATTATTCATTCTAATTTGTGCCATGAATAATACCAAACACTTTTAAACTTCAATGAATCCTAATGCATTGATGGAATACTCTAAGAATGACCATATTATTCTTATAGAGAGAATACTTCTAGGAATGCTTTTCTATACCTAATATTATTCCTACCAATAATCTATGTATGTCTTTGCTAAAATATCAAATAAAACTCGCAGGTGGTTTTCTGATGGGCTTATCACAGTCTAATGCAGATTCTTTCTTCATCTTCTCAATAATTTCATCTTGAAATAAATCTTTCAAATATTCATCGTAATCAGTTAGACTTCTTTTCACTGTGGTTTCAACCTTTCTTGAGTTAAGCTATATCGTTTTGATGACACGGAACAACATCTTTATTTTTCTAATACCAGCTTACGACTTTTTCATCTTTAGTTATAGTATAAACCTTTGAAAAGCATTCAGTGCTTCCCTCTGTTTTGTCATCAATTCTTCGATTGCAATAATCTCTACTTTACATTTTTCTTTCTATTAGTTCACTGAGTTATCATGATTCTCTTCATTCTCCCAATCTTTCTTTCAAACTTCGTTATTTTACTTTTTGCCATTTTTATCTTGAAAATTCATTCACAGCTTCTTGTCATTGACAGTTACTAAAAATATGAAAAGTATGTGAATTTGTACGTATAACATCAGAGAATGAGTAATTGAAGCATTGCTATAAATAGAACAAATAAAATTATTTTATGCAAAGTTAAAAATTATTTTTTTCTTCAAATTCTATTTTAAATAAATTTCGTTTTTCTACTTTCTATTCCATTTATTATTGTTACTTTTTCTGCTTTTCATTCTTTTCATAATTTTATATATGTATGAATTGATTTTTGTGCAAAACCTCACAATTTACTGAAATGATTTTATTTTACGTTTTCGATGTTACAAAAAAAAATAATAATAGTAATTCAAGCAGTGGCATAATAACAGAAATTTTGATAATAACAACTTGTGCGCTTAATTTAATAAATATGTTCCGGAATGAACTATTAATGGAGAATTTGCTTCATGGGCGATTGAATTTTGTTTATATCTCCATCTGATTTTTTACTTTGATCATATTTCGTTGCTTTGCTAAAAAAGAATTTAAAAAAAAATTCTGCTTGTCAAAAATTGAATCTTTTTCATTTAAAAGAAAAAAAGTGAGAATTGGTAAATTATAAGTTGCAACTGATAACAGAATTTAGCAAAGAATAGTCAATGAAAAGTTAACAAATGTTATGCATCGTTATCACTCATTAATTAATTAATTTAAATCAATCCCCATCAAATAATGACTCGGAAACTTATTATTCTTCAGTGCAAAAAGTTACTTTCATTTGATGGTAACTAATTTGAATCACATTCGAAAAGCAAAATGGAATTCACCCAAACTATAAATAATGACGAAATGGTTGTTTGTTGGATTTGTAACAAAAATTTTTTATCACGAGATTTTTTTTATTTTTAAATTAGGTTAAAAAATTAATAAAAATTGAATTAAATTAAATTGAAATTAAAAAAATTAATTGCAATCATTTTTCATTTAAACAAACTGAAGCAAACCAAATGATTCATCTAGTGTTTATCACATTCAGATGAACTTATCATTAATTTCTTTCCGCTTTATCATTAAAGCTTAAGCAATCGCTAGCTAATAGGAAGTCATTTACTGTTGCAAAGATTTCTTTAAAATTTCTCTTAAAAATTGCTTGCATATGTTACTTTCACTATAATGTCATAGGTTGTTTGATAAAACATTGCACAAACAAAAAAATTTTACAAAAAAAAAAAGATTTAAAAATTAAAATAGAAAAAGTGTAAAAAGTTTAAGCATTTTTCATTAGTAAAAATAAATGACTTGACAGTGAAGATTTTATCAGTTATTTTAATTCTAATTAACTACAAATATAGTTAAAAAGTAAAAATTTGATGAACAGATAAAATGGATTAGGCAGAGAAATGATTTCATATGGAAATAAACTCAAAATTAATATAAAGAATTGATAAGTGGAATTAATTTAATTAAAATCGATGATTACTTTGAATGATTCGTTGTTTTGTGTAACTTTTCTGCACATTTTATACTTTTACTTTCATTTCGAGGTTTTCTAACATTAATGATTTTATCAGTTTTTATTATGGAAGGCATCCTTTCCTGCTTTTCACCATAATTATACCTTTCATATTTTTGGCCAACTGTCAATGACAAGAAGCTACGAATGAATTTTCAAGATGAAAATGGCAATCGGTAAAATAACGAAGTCCGAAAGAAAGATTGGGAGAATGAAGAGAATCATGACTATTCAGTGAACTAATAGAAAAATGTGAACTAGAGATTATTGCAATCGAAGAATTGATGATAAGACAGAAATAAGTACTGAGTGCTTTCAAAGGTTTATAATATAACTAAAGATGAAAAAGGAAGATGTGTGAGATATGGTCATTCTTAGAGTATTCCATCAATGAATTAGGATTCATTGAAGTTTAAAAGTGTTTGGTATTATTCATGGCACAAATTAAAATGAATAATTGTTGGTCATTAGCATGTACACTTCTATCTTATAGAATTAAACTAATTGTTTGAAATCGCTTTTGTTTTTCCTTCGGTTTTTATTTGCCATCTAAGTTACGCAGAGTTACTGAAGATAAATATTAGATATATAGAATTTTTATATCTTTAAAAGAAATTACTTCCAATTATTCCTTACTATTTTATTAATTTGTTGTGCTATTTCAATAACTTTTGCATTATTTAATGTTGAAAATGATTAACTAAAGAGTAATAAACAAAAAACTCTCTTTTTTGCTTTTATGATCAAACTACTTAGTATATTTGCAATATTCATATTATAGGATTAAACCGATTTTTAGTTGGTTTAGTCATAGTCAAAGTTTCTCATCGATTATATCAGCTCGAGATTCTGTGATATTAGATGAAATTATTGTGCTGAAATTGCTGAACCAAAAATTAAACAAACAAATTAAATTGTACAAATAATATCTTTGCAGTTTAGAATAAAACTGTCAGTTATTGTTAATTGTCACATCAAAGTTTATTGCTTAGCTCCAATAGCATAAATTGAAGTTATAAGTAAAACAACATACATAAATGTTTTTATAAATTAAATATTAAAAAAAGTTTTAATTCTTCTAGATTCTATTTTAATTAAGTTCTACCAATGATAGAAAAATATAATATATTTAAAAAATATATATTTTGAACTTAATTGACTAGTTTTATTTGCATTATAGCTGATCTGCTTATATTTTGTCAAGGATTTTTGACATTTCACGCAAAAAAAAAATTTTTAAAAATTAACTTTGAAGCAAACCTGCAGTTTAGAAAATAATTAAATTTGCAATTATAAATGATTATAAATATACTTTAATCACAGTTCTAGATACAACTATTTAAGAAATTTCGACAATTTTTAAAAGTTTTTATAAATTAAATATTAATAAAAGTTTGAATTTCTGCTTGAATAAGTGCCAAAGATGTTAGAAAAATATAATTCACTTAAGAATGAAAAAAAAAAAAAAAAAAAAAAAACTAAGCCAGTCATAAATGGAATGTATTTAATTATCAACTGGACTACCTGCCTAAGTTTCGATGAGATGAAAAAACTGAATTGTCCTTTCGTTTACGGTTTTGCTAAACTGCCAGTATTAATAAATAAATATAAATAAACTTTTAATAAATAAATTCCCATTAACTATATAAGCGCTTTCATTTTGATTATTACTGGACGGATATTATTGTTTGCAGTAGTATTTGTTCCTGCCCATTTGTTTTTCAGAAAATTCATTTCTCAGAAGAAAATTATTTTCAAAATATAGTCAACAGTGGCACCGTATTTGGTTGATAATCAAGCTGTATCAACAGACTTTCGTTCTTATTTAAGGAGAATGAATGACGGTTCTGCAGTATCTAGAAAACTTAGACATCGCACTGATGTGGACAATTGCGCAATTGGCGGTATTCGCCTTCCTAGCTGATTTCGCTGTCGCTGGGTGAGTTTTCAACAGATTTTTTCATCCTCTCTGCAAAATTTATCTCGAAATTAGGCACTTTTCTCTTGCATGCTGGATTTATGTTAGTTGAAGTTTAATCACAAATATAGGAAATTAGAGAAATTAACAGCCACAAATTATCTGAGAATTGCCACTTCTCGAGACAAAGCATACATATTCACAAGCAAAAAATGCAGTCGTAATATCTGCATGCACGATCTGCAGTCATCAGAAAACCAGCAAAAAACCAAGGCTTAAACGTGTTATGAATAGAACAATTTTCAGCGAAATAGAACAGCTGAAAGAAGTTCTAGGAAAGTTTAACAAAGATTACAAACAGGGCAATATGACGAGACTTGCGTCCGATTTCAGAAGTGCATTGAAGGAATATGGCGATGGTTTCGTTTTCGTTCTTATTTCACTTCAAATTTTAACCTTTTGAATGAAGCAAACCACTTAAATTAATTTTCATCTGAATTTAATGTAGCAGAAAAGTTAGATTTAAAAATTAAGAATTGTCATATTTTCAGGACAACAAGGGTGAGCACGATTCTATTTCACTGAGTACCATATGATTTCTATTGCAGAATTCTGATGGCACTCACTGAATAAAGCATTTGAAACTTATAACATAATTTGGCTTACCTTCAACACTTCTGGTTGCATTTTTCTTTTTATGGGTGGCTAATAAAGCACTCTCGGAATGCAGCATAAAGGCACAGAATCTGAAAATTAATGAAATAACAAAACGAATAGTTCAATTCATAAATTCTTCTAATCCCGCAGGAAATTGAAAACAGATTGCATAGTTTTCGTTGGAGCTATCTTACTAAAATATATTAAAATACCTAACTTAAATTAAAGGAAGTAGAGATTGTCTCTAATTTTTCGCTCATAAAAAATCTTGCAAATGAATCTCACTCAAAATTTACTGTAAATTTAAACAGCAAATCGACCGTTGTGCAAGAATTCTTGAAAAAAATGGAGGACAATGGCGAGCAACGAGCAATGGAAAAATTAGAAACCGAATGGAAAGATTATGTAACCGCTCTCGGTACAGTTTTCTATCATTGATACTTCAGAAAAGTAACTCTGTTCTGTGTGCATTTTCATTTCAGTTTTAAATTTTTCTTTTGTAGAACTAAAATTTTAGATGAAAGAGCAAAATTGCTGTGAAATAATTCTTGCAATTTGCAGGAAAACATTACGATCAAAAGGAAAACAATTTTAGAATGGCAATATTTGAAAGCAACGAATTAATGACGGAAAGGATAAATAAAAAATATGAACAAGGCTTAGTTTCTTATACAACGGCCCTCAATGACTTGGCTGATTTGGTAAGTAAAGTGAAATGGATTTTGAAGAAAAAATGGGAAATGGGATAGCGATATATGATTTTGATCTTTTTAAATAGGAATTGTTGATTTTGACTCTTTCTTTTTGATTCAATTTTAGACCGATGAAGAATTTATGGTCAGGAATGGACTTCGACTGCCCAATCAAACTGATCTTCGTGGGAAAAGACAGACTTCTGAATTTTATAGGTATGACCCAAGGGAACGGTTGCCAGATCTAGTTGATTGGAGAACGAAAGGTGCCGTTACACCTGCCAGAAATCAAGTAGGTTTTATAGACTTGTAATATAACTTCTTGTCCACAATTTCAACACGAATCGATTAGGACTTCTTCAATGATCAAGAACTTGGCGACTAATAGCGCGTGTCACAACATGATTATGACCTCAAGAAGTGAAATATTCAGGGCAACTTGCTAAGGTTTTTCAAACGAGTCATAATTGATCGCAACATATCGATTGGGAGTGTTATGAGATTTAGAGTTGAATCTGAATATAACTTTTAACTTGAATTTGACTTTCGTATGCTCAAGAGCCTTTCTTGATTGTTATTGTAGTTAGTACAGACGAATGCTTTGAATAAATGAATAAATTGTTGGAGAAATGAGTGAATTGTGAGTGGGGGAGAGCAGCTGAGCTGTAGCGTACTGATAAGGAAGAACTGAGAAAACTGATAAAGACAAAAGATTTAAATCCTTATATAGTGGGCACTGACTTGCAGCAAGAGTGTGATTGTTGAATAAAGAGCTATCAGATGATCGTTACTCTTTAAGAGATGGGTTTTAATATTGTAGATTCTCAATGAATGACTATTAGCTTAGGAACCTTTACGTTTTTTTTTTTACATAGTTCAATCCTTACATATTTCGACGTAGCAAGCAAATTTGATTTGGAACAAAGAGTATTTAACATATTAAACAATGTACATACCCGTTGTTATCAGATGAAAATGTCTAGACAAGAGATAAGCTCAGCTACAATGGGAAGATGAATGCTGGAATAATGGTTGCTTACAATTTGCAATTTGAAACAGTTCTACACTTCTAGTGTTCATTTAAGACAAATTGTAGTATTATGGAGTACAATTTTGCGTAATATATTTTGTAAATTATTTGGTGGCTCGTGAGATTATTTCGAGTTTCTCGACAAAGGAATGTGTAAGCTAAAAATGCATGCAATGCGACGGTATTGATGCATAGTGATTATTTGCGCTGAAGTTTGATTAGTTTGCATTTGAATGGTTCTAAATAGATGGTTTAATTTTTTGAACTAATTTTGCAGGGACAGTGTGGTAGTTGTTATGCATTCGCTACAGCTGCAGCATTGGAAGCTTATCATAAGCAGAAGACCGGAAGACTTCTTGATTTATCCCCTCAAAACATTGTTGACTGTACAGAGAACTATGGTTGTGATGGTGGCTACATGGTTCCGGTCATTTTTTGATCTTTTTTGAGTGCCTAAAGATTTTTTCATCATTCACTAGTTTTTACTCTTGGTTCCAATTTTTCATTTTATGGGCTTAAGAGGATTTTCAGGTGTTCGAATACGCAGCAAAAAATGGAATTGCAATGGAATCGAAATATCCTTACGTTGGGGTTCAGGAAAAGTGCAAGTGGCAAGAAGACATCGCTGTTGTCACAGACAATGGTTTTAACGAAATAGAACCGGGTGACGAATCAGCACTTAAGCATGCCGTGGCCAAACGTGGACCCGTCGTTGTTGGAATTTGCGGTTCTAAGCGTTCTTTCAGATTTTATAAAGACGGTAAATTATAATGTATATCTGATCATAAGTTAGAGAATAATTAAGCAATTATTTGTGATAAATGTAATTAAATCATTATTCAACTATCGGTATAACATTGTTTATTTCATATATTTCATTTTCCCATTCTTCAATATCTGATGTTATAGGCATTTACTCTGAAGGAAACTGCGATGAAATTGACCATGCAGTACTGGTGGTTGGTTACGGAACGGATCGATCTTATGGGGATTACTGGATTGTTAAAAACAGGTTTGCCGCAGTTCATCTGTTTTTATTTTGGTTTCCCTAAAAATTTTTTTTTAATGAAATGTACATGAAATGGATTCAGTTTATTGCTTTGCACTAATGCTAGTACCAATTGAAATTTTTTCAGTTGGGGTACCGATTGGGGAAAAGATGGGTATGTTTATATGGCACGAAACAGAGGGAATATGTGCCAGATCGCCTCTATGGCTTCATTTCCCATTTAATATTTACTAAATTTGATATTGAAAGATATTTCTTGCACTTAGCTTATATGTGTTGGTGATGTTAATTATGGTTAATTATGACTTAATAAATTTTTGGTATTCAGAAGAAAAATGAATCAAAGATTATTTTATCAAATAAAAGTAAAATTTCTTGTCATATTTTTTTTTTTTTTTTATGATATACCAATCCGCATACTATCTTAAAATCTGCCTTTATTAAACCAGGCTATTTAATGTGTTATTCCAAGTTATTTCCAATTAACTTTTTTTATTCATACTGTAATAAAAGTCGCAGAATACTTGTAGAAGTGATTAATTCATACTGAAACATTTCTTTTAGCATACGAAACTGTTGGAAAGTGTTAATACTTGCAACTTAAACATAGGAATTATTCGGGCATCGATTAATGGATGTTCACTTTTTAGCACCCTTTTAGTGATCAAAACAAAGAAATGTCATGATATCGTTATTTGACAAGAGAAATAATTCGTTTGATGTTCAAATCTCAACTTGCAGGAAAATGGGCAAAATTTAATCAAAGGATAAGCAAATTATAAGCTAATAATTTGACGAAGTAATAATTTGCTGCAAGATTTGATAACTGCTTGCTATACTAATTCAAATTTTCAAACATAATTTATGAATGTTCTCTTCTTGCATGCGGCATATTTCATTATCAGAAATTTATCTTATTATTAAACCATAATTAGCATATGTATCAAATGTTAAATAGCGAAATAAATATCTTGTGAAATCAAAATTAATTAATATCAGATGGGAAATGAACCCATCGAAGCAACGTGGCACATATTCCCTTTGTTTCGTGCCATATAACCGTATCCTTTAACTCCCCAATGGGTTCCCCAGCTGAAATTGAAAATCATAAATTCATTTAATTTCAATTCATTCAAAGCAGCCATAATATTTTATTCAGTATTAAGAAAAACTTAAAGAGATACAACGACAAAAAATCATACCAAAAAAAAAAGTATGAAATAAATAAAGTATGAATGATTGTAAGACGTGAATTGAGGCATACCTATTTTTAATGATCCAGTAATCACCGTAAGTTCGATGCGTTCCGTAACCGACAATCAATACTGCATGACTTGGTTTAGTACAGGTATTACTGGAGTAAATACCTGAAAATTTTCAAAGATTAGAGATTATCGTTTGGTATAATGTTTGTTTAAAATTTTCTCTTCATATATCCACTGCTTATTCCAAACTTAATTAATTCAAAGTATTTCAGGAATATTTCATTATAACATACCGGACTTATAAAATCTGAAACTTCGTTGATGTCCGGAAATTCCGACAACAACAGGTCCATGTTTAGCTACAGCATGCTTAAGTCCCAGTTCGTCGCCGTCTCGTATTTCAAGATAACCTTTATCAGTGGCAACAACATCAGCTTTTCTCCATTTACACGATCGTTTTGCAATGAACACATACGGATATTTCGATTCTGCTACAATGCCATGTGATTTTGCATATGTGAACACCTGAACACTTTAAATGAGTGAGGTTTATCATTCTGATTGTAAACTACCTACCATTAATTCGAATATCTGCTAAGTGTGCTACGGTAAAATTTTGGCTTAATTTAGCCAGCAAACAAAATTTGATATTTAAAATGGATCTTTTCTTTAAATGTACAGAATTGTTCAGAAAATCTACAGAAAGGATTAGAAAATTACCGGAACCATGAAGCCACCATTACAACCATTGTTACCATGTTCCCATGTGCAATCAATAACATTTTGTGGGGATAAGTTGACAAGTTTTCCAGTCCTTTTCTTATGATAAGCTTCCAATGCCGCAAGTGCACCAAATGCATAACAGCTGCCACACTCTCCCTGCAAAATTAGTTTTCATTAAATTTTATCAATCTATCAGCCTATAAAAAAAACTATTTAGGATGATTCAGATGCAAATCAATCAAATTTCGATCTCAAACTTCAATGCAAACAATCAATATGCAATGATATTGCTGCATTGCATGCACTTTCAGCTCAAGCATCCCAATCGATATTCTGTGATCAATCATGAATCATGAACTCTTTCGGTCCCGATCACGTGGCACAATCGCCAAGTTCTCGATCACTGAAGAATTCCGATTCGATCTATATTACTTGTCGAATTTGGTCACATTGAAATCAAATCAACATGATATTACGGAAAAGAAGTTACATGTAAATCCTACTTGATTTCTAACAGGTGTAAGGACTCCTTTTTTTCTCCAATCAACTGAATTTGGTAACCGTTCCCTTTGATCGTACTTGTAAAATGTATCAAAAGACTGTCTTTTCCCACGAAGATCAGTTTGATTGGGCAGTCGAAGTCCATTCATCACCATAAATTCTTCATCAGTCTAAAATTGAATCAAAACGAAGGAGTCAAAATTAACAATTCCTATTTAAAAAGATCAAAATCATATATCGCTATCCCATTTCCCATTTTTTCTTCAAAATCCATTTCACTTTACTTACCAAATCAGCCAAGTCATTGAGGGCCGTTGTATAAGAAACTAAGCCTTGTTCATATTTTTTATTTATCCTTTCCGTCATTAATTCGTTGCTTTCAAATATTGCCATTCTAAAATTGTTTTCCTTTTGATCGTAATGTTTTCCTGCAAATTGCAAGAATTATTTCACAGCAATTTTGCTCTTTCATCTAAAATTTTAGTTCTACAAAAGAAAAATTTAAAACTGAAATGAAAATGCACACAGAACAGAGTTACTTTTCTGAAGTATCAATGATGGAAAACTGTACCGAGAGCGGTTACATAATCTTTCCATTCGGTTTCTAATTTTTCCATTGCTCGTTGCTCGCCATTGTCCTCCATTTTTTTCAAGAATTCTTGCACAACGGTCGATTTGCTGTTTAAATTTACAGTAAATTTTGAGTGAGATTCATTTGCAAGATTTTTTATGAGCGAAAAATTAGAGACAATCTCTACTTCCTTTAATTTAAGTTAGGTATTTTAATATATTTTAGTAAGATAGCTCCAAAGAAAACTATGCAATCTGTTTTCAATTTCCTGCGGGATTAGAAGAATTTATGAATTGAACTATTCGTCTTGTTATTTCATTAATTTTCAGATTCTGTGCCTTTATGCTGCATTCCGAGAGTGCTTTATTAGCCACCCATAAAAAGAAAAATGCAACCAGAAGTGTTGAAGGTAAGCCAAATTATGTTATAAGTTTCAAATGCTTTATTCAGTGAGTGCCATCAGAATTCTGCAATAGAAATCATATGGTACTCAGTGAAATAGAATCGTGCTCACCCTTGTTGTCCTGAAAATATGACAATTCTTAATTTTTAAATCTAACTTTTCTGCTACAATAAATTCAGATGAAAATTAATTTAAGTGGTTTGCTTCATTCAAAAGGTTAAAATTTGAAGTGAAATAAGAACGAAAACGAAACCATCGCCATATTCCTTCAATGCACTTCTGAAATCGGACGCAAGTCTCGTCATATTGCCCTGTTTGTAATCTTTGTTAAACTTTCCTAGAACTTCTTTCAGCTGTTCTATTTCGCTGAAAATTGTTCTATTCATAACACGTCTAAGCCTTGGTTTTTTGCTGGTTTTCTGATGACTGCAGATCGTGCATGCAGATGTTACGACTGCATTTTTTGCTTGTGAATATGTATGCTCTGTCTCGAGAAGTGGCAATTCTCAGGTAATTTTTGACTGTTAATTTCTCTAATTTCCTATGTTTGTGATTAAACTTCAACTAACATAAATTCAGCATACAAGAGAAAAGTGCCTAATTTCGAGATAAATTTTGCAGAGAGGATGAAAAAACCTGCTGAAAACTCACCCAGCAGTAGCAAAAGCGGCTAAGAAGGCGAATACCGCCAATTGCGCAATTGTCCACATCAGTGCGATATCTAAGTTTTCTAGATACTGCAGAACCGTCATTCATTCTCCTTAAATAAGAACGAAAGTCTGTTGATACAGCTTTGTTATCAACCAAGTACAATGCCAATGTTGAAGATTTTATTTGAAATGTGAACTTTCTTTTAACAAATTGTTTGTTTTGTAGAGCATTCCAATAGGTCAACTGTAAAAAACAAACCATATTGAAAAAAATATTTATGCAATTGAAATTTTATTCAAAATAATCCTCGGATTGAAAAACTGAAAAATAAAAATATTTGAGAAATGATTCGTATAGTATTCGAGAAGGAAAACAGCTCAATTTAAAATCAATTTTTGTTTTTCGTTATTCAAAAGCAATGAGAGCTTGATTTCTTGCATTAGCAATTTTGGCATAAACTGACACATTTTGATAATTTGAGATTTTCTATTAATACTATTTTAAAAATGATTTTAAGAAGCACAAAGGTTTCCATTTTGGAAATTTCTGTTTATTATTTGAATATTTAAGTCTGAAAGTGAAGTAAATTTTTATCTTTTCTAATACCTCTTCTTTTCAAGATACTGTGATAAAAAGCAAGCAGTTCCGTTTCTTTTAGAGTTAATAAAAGTTATTTTGATTTTGGATAAATTAAAATATATTACTCCAACAGTCATTCGAAATTCAAAGAAGCATATAGCAAAAGGAAGTAATATTTCTAGGATAATTCCTATAGTCGTTAAACATCTCTGATTTTATTTACTTTTTTGTCTTTGTGTTCAAAATAATTCATAGCATTTCTAATTTATTCCTTCATGATAACTTCGATTAAAGAGATCGAAGGTTTATTTTCACAAATTATCTATTTAAAATTCCATCATATGTTGCTCGCTTTATATCAGCAGCGTCAAAATAATTGCTTTACCTCAAAAATTGAACATTACTTTATTCACCACCTGCTAGTGCTAATCCTTAGTTCCTTTTATAGGAATTCATTTTGTCAGATTTTAAGATTATTAGAATGTGCTCTTTACTTATCAAAACTAATGAGAAGATATGCAAATTGCTGTTATTATCTAAATATTCTTTTTTATTTTCGAAATAACAAAAAGCGAATATTCTATAAATCCTTGTTAGAAGGAGGAAGATAAGGTCATAGCTAATTATCATCCCTCTCTTTTTATCTCCCTCTCTCTTTCCCTCCCTCCCTTTCTCGCTATTCCCGAACATAATCATCATTTAAAGGTGGGTTTATGTGCCTCGGATATCCTTAGGACGATTATCTCATTTCTCAAGTGAACCAACCATGCATCTGTTGACTTTTGAAATCGGTCATCTGAAATGCAAATTAACCGAAACAACAAATTATCCATGAAAATCGCACCTTTTGTTAGATAAGCCGTTGAAATAGCTTTTGACGTTGAAATCTTTTTTCTTTGTATAATTATTATGGCATACATTATAATAAAATATATTTTAATGCATATGAACTGATAAATACATTTAAAGGAATTTTTTTTTTAAACAATTTTAATAAGTTTTTTTCTTTTTTTTGCTATTATACATAGAAAGAGTAAAATGAAAATTATCGATAGGAATTTAGCTCACAAATGGAAAGTAAATTGATAAAATTGATAAAAGATAAAAGTTAAATTGTGAAATGAAAGGAAAGCTTGAAATGTCAAACTATGCCAGTTAATTAAAATTTCAAACAAAAATGAAATAAATTTACTGATGAACAATTAGATGCTGGCATAGATTATAGGAGTGATCTATTCGTAATCATTAAACTAGCGCTATCTTTTCACTTCATTAAGCGATCACTTTAATTTATACTTATTTTGTATTATTAATATCATTTTTTTTTATGATAATCACAAATATTTGATCTTGCTTGTATCAAATTATGCAAATTTCAGACGTTGATTTCATCAATTAGATGGAATATTACAGAATCAATAAATGATCACACGTAAAAAGATATGACTGTTTTTTTTTTGTTTAATTTTGAACTGTTATTTAATTCATTTGATTAGAAGCGAATATTTTCTTACTAACAGATTTATTGTCTATTGAATATTAATTTTTTTAAAAAAGAGACAGCAGTTTGAGAGAATTTCTGAATCTTGCTTTGTTTATGCTACGATAAAGTGTGAAACCATACATCTGGTTGAACTTCTTAGAAATAAGACTATTTCGAGAAATCTTTACTCTCGAAAAATAGTAATCGATCGATGTGATATTGATCGAATACCATAATCATATAACATTATAAAGATGGCCAAATAAAATCCAGTAATTATCGTGAAATAACAACTGACTACCATTACCTTACAAAATAGCGTTAATCGCTTGTCGACTTGCATAATCTCTTGAGTAAACTTCGGTCTTCTTTTAATATTACCAAAAAATGAAAGAAGTGAGTAAGTGTTGAAAAATAATAGCCAATGTTAAACATCGCTAAAAAGAAATAACTGAAGCAAACAATGAAATTATTAGGTGATAATGACAGTTCGGCTAAACACAAAGAAATTTAGGAAATTGCTGAAAAAATTGCGGAAATTTTAAAAGATTTTAAGAATGAACAACAATAGCTGTACTGTAGTGATTAATCCACCAATAAAATCTAAAAGAGTAAACGAATTTGTACAAACAATAAGCAATTTGATGAATGATTTTTTTTCTCTCAAATTTCAAGCAACTTGGAAATTTAATAAATTTGCTTATTTAGAAAATAATTTATTAATTACAATTACGAATGGTTTATATGTGATACCATTAAATTAATCAATATACAATTGAAATGTTTTATGCTAAATATGGAAGTAATAATTAAAGGAAGAAAATAAGAAACATACAAAAGTGAGAAATAATAAAATGATGAAACAATTTGTTGCATTGGATATGATTTATGGTTGCTAGATCAGTTTATGATATCTAATCAACTTTACAGATCTAATCAGACTGATCTTAAATTGTTTGCAAATTTTTGGATTCTTATGGAAAATATAGGAGGGAAAGCAAAAGGCTATTTAGTTATGCATGTTTATTCCTGAAACCTGATAATATCTGTTCATACGGTAGTTAAATACACATTTAATTAATATTGTTTTGGCATCCTAAACATAGCAATTTTCATTGTTGTGGCTAATTAATTTCTGTTAATATATTAACTACATGGCAAACAATGTATTGAAATTGAAAGATAGCAAAAAGATAGACACAAATGGTACTCATTATATGGCATTTAATTACCAGGTGCACCAGAGGTAAGTAGGTGCTAAAAGTCCAGGAAGTAATACTTCACCCACAACAAACTGAAATATTGGCTACAACGATCTGTTTATATTGTAAGATAATATAAGTAGCAAATTTTTAAGCCTCAAATATCTTAAAAAAAAACACACACACACTTCAAAATCAGCTCATAATTAATTAAATGTTAATTAACCTTTGTAAAAAAAAAGATTTCAGAAATAGTTTAAACAAAGAATTAACTAAATACAGTAGTAAATATAAATGTTATTTATAAGAGACACACATATCTAAACAATAAAAATATTCTCTCAAAAGCATTCTTTCTTTATTTTTTTTTTCATAATTTCAACAATAAATTAATAACAAAGGATTCTGTCACATTTGTATATATCTTTCAAGAAAAAAAAAAGAAAAAGGCTCATATTTCATCGTATATATATCTGTCTAATAATAGAAAAGCATTTGGTAGTAACATATTCATAATTATATTGCAGGATGGGAACAAATAGGTAACTACCGTAATTCATTCACTCTTGAAAAATGATTCCATCTTTAGGAAGGCAAAAAAGAAAAAGCCAATTAATGCAAATGTTCAGGAGGCGCTGTTAAATTATAATTCCACAGAAATGAGAGAAAATTTGTCATTGTCATTCAGCTCATCATCGAATGAAATTTCTACTTTTTCTTTCTTAAAATAAAATCAAAAAAAAAAAAAAAATTTTTTTTCTCTTTTTCATTTTTCCACATCTTACTTTCTTTCAAATCTAAATTTTCTTCAAATTTTATTCTTAATTAATACTTTGATTTTTTTTTTTTTTTTTTGTTCCATTTTTCATTTTTTCTTCAACTATTAGACTTTTATTTTTAATAGATCTTTCCAATGGTTCCTTTTTTTTGTTCATTTTATAAACATACCGTAAACTAAAGGCGGAGTTAGTCGAATTTTATTTCCGGCAAAATAAAATCTGAGAATGCATTCCATTTTTCTTAAATTCTTATGCTTATTTGCTGTATTCCTTTTCATTTTTTTTTATAAATATCATACTTTTTTTTTCCTTTTTGTAAACTCTAATTTTAAGTAATTTAAAAAAAAAAAGGAGAAATCAAACAGTTCGAATTAAAACTAACAGTTAATGTTTTTTTTTTTTTTTTTGGCTCCCATTTCAAATACTTTCGTAATTTTTAAAAAACTTTCGTAATTTCACAGTTCGAAATGTTAAAATAAGCTTTAATCGTTTATCATATATTTGTTTAAATTCTATGCTAATTATAAAAAGTAGTAATATATTAAGGTGGAAATGAATTCATATTTATGTAATCAACGTTTGCAGTAATATTTCTAATTCAATTTCAAATCAATGGATGGAAAAAATAATGGGAAATATAAACGTAGAACAAAATGATCCATGTTTATTTCGTTTATCAGCTACTTTTTCATCTGATCAGGTAATTTTTATTTATCATAAAAATAAAAAATAAAAAAAATCATTTTGGATTGTTTATTCAAAATTTAATTAAAAAATTAACAAATATTCACACTATCAAAATCTTCTTTTTTTTTGAGTAAACTGCTAAAATTTAGCTATGAAATTGAAATTTGTAAATTGTTTAAAAAAGCATATGTATATAATGGATGCAAACATTATAACAATAATAAAATAATTGCAGAATATCGATGAAGCTTCTTTCAACAAAAATAAGATAGCATGAAGAAAAGTTTAAAAATATTAAAAATCTAAGATATTTGAAAATTTTTGACTAAATTTTGCTCATAATAAAAATCTCTTACATCATAGATGAAATTTAAAAATGTGAAATTTGATTCCAGCTTTATAATTTGTTAAATTTAAATTACTTTTTAGATAGACTGTATCTGTGAAGCACTCTATCAAGCACGTGATGGTGCGAAATTATTAGAATTATTTGAACCAATTGCAAATAATATTATGTTTTACCGGTGTCGGTACTATTCAAGTTCCGTACTTCGTGCTTATCTCTATGCACTCTATTACGGAAAACGTTATGAGGAATTATTTCAGGTTTTCCTTTCATCTGTCACTTTTTACTTATTCTTCCATCTTAACACTTTATTTACTTATTTGCATCTTCGTTTTTGTAATATTAATTTATATGTTATACTTTTTACACTAATATTTATTTTGACTGTTTGTTTTGATTATTCTCGTAATAATACCTTCCTGTAATTTCAATTGCTTCTGTAATTACTACCTGAAAGAGTAAATTTCCATATAACTACTACTTTATTTACGATACTGGATGAACTGAAAGTATCATCATTTTCTAGTAATTGAATTCGAATTTTAGACGATAGCGTCAAATACGTTCGAACAACGATTTTATAATGAATTGCAAGATTTATGGTATAAGGCGCGCTATGCTGAGGTATTCTACAATACAATTATATCTGTAAAAAAATTTTTATTTTTGATCGTTGATCTGAAATAATCTATGCTAAAATGACTCGTTCAGGTTATTAGGTCATTAGTAAAGTAAGAAAAAAAAAGAATGATTTCTGGAATTTTTTTCCGGTTTTCTCATTATCTACAACTAAGATAATAGTTAGCTCACAGTTCATGAAACATCATTACTTTTCATGCAATAGTGAAGTCAATCAAATATCTTTCCTGATTAGCACATCTTAAAATTAAACTGATTAATGGACACCTCAACTTTCGAAAAAAAAAAAAATTAGGGTTCTATTTCTTTTCAGTTTTCTTGAATAGTAAAATTCTTGAAAAAAAAAAAGAAAGAATTTGCTGATTATTTTTAGAATGAAGAACGACGACAAAAGGAGCTGGGCGCAGTAGAGAAATACCGCTTACGAAAGAAACATCCGCCACCGCGGTCCATCTGGGATGGACAAGAAACTATTTATAGTTTCAAGGAAAATGCTAGAAAGTTATGGTTAACCGATCTACCAAGTCAAGAAAAAAATACATCAGATAATATTCAATTCGCTATAATTGTAGCATTTCAATTCAAAATTTAAGTTTATTTTTACATCAGTTTTTCTTTTAATTTATGTATTGTTGAATCATTTTTTTTTTCTTCTTTTTTTTAGATTCTTCGACAGTTCTATAGAAAAAACAAATATCCTACACTTGAGGATAAAAAAGAAATAGCACGAATTACCGATCTAAAGATTATACAGGTAAAATTAGGATATGTTTAATTTCTTATTTTTATAACTGGTAGATCTAAGAAGGAAAATAGTAAGCTAATACAATTTTTAAAAATTTTAAAAACCTCCTTTGCCTTTTTTTTTCCTAGTAAGCTAGTTTGTAATAAAATTTTGATTAAGAAAATTGAAATGCAATTGGATTAATGAGACGTAGGGCAACACATTATGATAGCTTCAGCGGTATGCCAAAATTTTTTGTTTTTAGGTTAGTAAGATAGTCCATTTAACATAAAAAATGCTAAACAATTATTAGAACTCTATAATATATTATAATTTATTGCAATATTTATAAGTGAATTTCAATCTTTCTTGTGCAATTTTTGAAAAAGTAAATTTTTTGTTTATTTTTTTCATTTTTTTATTTTTTTCTTGCTTATATCACTAAAGTTTTATAAAATCTCAGTGATAATTTATCACAATCTTTCCAATATTAAAAAAAAAATCTTTTAGATTTCAAACTGGTTCAAAAATAGGCGTCAACGTGATAAAAGCTCGTCAACTGGGCAATTTTCATCAGGAGTGCCGATACAGTTTGATAATTTGAATTTATAATATATTCTATTATTTCATTTATACAATTGTGAATAAAAACTTCGAACAATGAAAATGAAAATCACTGCTAAATTACAAATTTTTTTTTAGGTTGAAAATACTTATTTGTTTTTCTTTGTAATTATAGTTAAATGATTATATGAATACTTAAATGATTGCATGAATGTGGTGTATATTTGATAAATGTTTTAAGTCGTTTAATTAAAATCACATTAAATTTTTTTTTAATCTCAAACTTATAAAAATTTCCATTTAGAAAATAAATTTATTTACAAAGAATTGAATCCTAGATTATTTATTTTTTCATTTGTGGTTTAATAGGAAGAAAAAAAACAATTCTATCATTTTCAACCATATTTACCATCATTTCAGTGTATTCTTATCATCAACGATGACAGTCACAAAATTGAAAAATCCATTTTAAATTTAATTGGTTATAACAATTCCGTAAGTATAATTACCATTTCTCGAATTTTACTAAAATTCGTGTGTAGTTGAAATTTTAGGTTTACCTATTGATTTCCATAAAAAACTAAAAATAATAAATTTGATAAAGAATAGTTTTTACTACAAACTTGTATGATACTATCAACTAAATACAATCATTGCTATTACTTTGCATACCAAATATTCTCTAAAATTTTAGGTGTAAAAAGGAAAAAAAAAAACCAAAATATTATCTAATAAAAATAATTTCACAGAGCAAAGCGCTAATTTACTCTTGAAAGTATGAAAATGCGTAAGGTTTACAAAATTTGATATTAGCTTCAATCAAGGAAAACACATTTCATTTTAGCATTAATTAATTAAATAGTAAATACCTGAAAATGTTGGAAAGAAGAAAGGTACAATTGGCATTGCAATGCCGATTGCGTATACGTGTGCGTGTATGTACGTGTATGTGTATGCGTGGGCGTGTATGTACGTGTATGTGTATACGTGTGCGTGTATGTGCATGTATGTATGTGTGCATGTGTGTTGCTATCATCCTTCTATCCTTTCTTTTCCTCTTCATTACATTTTTTCAGATTGATATTCTTGAATAATACTCAATATGTCGAGAATCTTTTCGTTTTCATTCTTGTGTTCGTCATTTGTATTCAAACGTAAAGCAGATAATCTAGGTAACGTAAAGCAGGTAATCTAGGTAATTAATTAATTTCGTCGAACATTAAACTGTATTTAACGTGACATGAACACGTATTGTTTACTTTTAATTCCATCGTAATAGTAAATGAAAAGGCTTAATTGTGCCTCGCAAAGGATCATTTTGCTTATGAAAGTCAAAATTTTTTGCTAAAATTGTTTCTTTATAATTTTCTATATTACATTTTATTTTGAAGTATTACATGAAAAAATATCATTTTTTTTTTTTTTTGAATTCGGTTTATTAAATGCAAACCAATGATCTTTTCGTGTTTTACATTTTTTTTTATGAATTTGAAATCCTCAAACAAAGTGGTTAGCATTATAAAAGTAAGAGGAAATAATCTATCGATAATTAGTACCACAAAAATTTAGTTTCCTAAGAAAGTGCTGTGTTGCACTTCGATTCATTTAGTTTTTCATACATTTGCTAATTTTCTGTTCATTTTTAAATTTTTAATTTATATCAGTCAAAAGTTCTATTTTTATATTTTTTTCTATTCTCTAATTTTCTTTTTTTTTTCTAAAAATTTTCTATTCTTTTCACTTTTAAATCTAAAATTTTGCAAGCATGGATTGTAATAAGGATTGAAAATTAGGTCATCGTGTCATAAGTCCAATCCGTTTCCATTCATTCATTCATTCATTCATTCTTGTCTCTTTTCATCATTTATTTCCATTAAAGATTTTATATAATTAAACAAATATCATCAGCGAATATATGTATGAAAGAATTAAAATAAGTTGCTTAGCTCTAAAGTGACACAACTTAATCAATATATCAGGCAGACATTATGACAAATTTCTATTCCTTTTCAAAATTTTGAAATTTTATGAATCATTGTTGTTATATTATCTTCTTATATCTTATTACTCTTTTCCTTCTTATTCTAATGATACTTCAAAGTTTTATTGCATGAAATTATTGACCAATTCAGTTTTAAATGACCATTCTTCATTTTGATAATATCATAAATGGTCTAATCGATGATTTCCAACACTTAAAATTATCCTTTTCTATATGCAATTTTTTTCTTATTTCTTTTCATAGCATTATTTTTTCTCATTAAATTTTCTTTTCTTTTTTTTTCAACAAATCATTCATTCATTCATTTGCTGAGAAATTCTCTTTTTCATTATATTGATATATCGATTTTTATATCAATGTCATATATTTTCTTCAAAAAGAATAGTATTGTCCATTTTCTAAATTTATTCTTTTCAATTCTTCTAAACTCATAGAATAGACTTATAAATTAAATGCTGTTTAATTGACCGAATAATATGTCAAATAGTACCGCAATAATCATTTGTCACAATTCTTGCGCTTTGACATTGATCTCTTGTTGACATTTTGACATCTATTTGAAGTTCATAGGACAGAACTATTGTAGAAAGTTCATAGAATAGACTTATAAATCTATTTATTCTTATCATTTTTCTCCTTCTTTCTTCTTCTTTTATTATATTTTCGTATAATGGAAATGAAATACTTTTTATTATGCATACAACAATTGTAGTATAATTTTAGATTCTTTTATCACTGTATTTGATATTAATGGTAATTAATTCAGATTAATTTTATTAAAAAAAAAACTTTATAATTTTTATCTTATTAATTTATTGCGTATCAAAACGTTTTATATCTAGCATTATTTGACTGAATTCAGGAATTACTTTATGCTATTGCTGCAGTTAAAGTAATCAGTTGAAGTAATCAGTTAAAGTAATCAGAAAGATCAGTTCAATGAGATTTGTACAAAATTCAATAATGCTAAATTATTTAAAAGAGGTTAAGCAGTAGTAATTCATTATGTAAAGTAGCAATTTTCATTATATTGATTGATTTTTAAATAGGTTTATTGATGAGTACTTAAATTGATCTCTGTCATATTTTCATCTGAGTTATTCGAACTTTTGGTTTAGCTAAATTTTAGATTCGTGAAAAAGTTCACTTGAATATATTACCTTTAGCTAAATCAATTAAAGTTTTTTTTTTCGCTATTAAATTTATTAAAAGTTATTGGAGAAATGAAAGAGCCTACAAACTTTTTTTTTTTTTCAAAGTTATTGGAGAAATGAAAGAGCCTACAAACTTTTAACTTTCATTTTATTTTTCTTTTTCTAACAAAAAGACATAAATAACAATAGTAGTAGTAATAATATTTATTATTGTTGTCATTATTTTTCAACTGTAAACAAATAAATATGTTCTATTGAAGAAAGATTTAAATTGTGGACGCTCTTTGTCACATTAGATGAAAACGACGAGTATTTATTGTAGCACTGATCTTTAATCATCTAATATCTGCACATCAAATATTTCAAAAAAAAAAAGAATTTGAAAAATTGAATTGTCAACATGATTGTTTCATTGATGATTAAAAATTTCCAATGATTCATTTGTATGTTAAAAACAGAGCGATATAAACAATATCGAAAATATATATTTCATATTTTTTAAACTTTCTCCAAAGATTTTTATTTTAGTAAATATAATGAAAAAAAAAAAAAAGAAAAATTTGCTAAAACAAAAATACAATTTAACCATTTGAAATATTCACAAAATTATTTGCTTTCCTTATATTTTTAACGCTTTTCTTACTAACTAACATAAATTAAAAATACAAATTTTTTTAATCTAAAAATTTTTTATGAATTAGTTTTATATTATATATAATATAATACCATCTATTTTTGCTAAGATTTTTAAACACCTTTTTCACTCATTTATTCCAACTAGAACATAAAATTTTTTATAATTTATAGTTTCTTAAAAGTTCCAAATTAAAAAAAATTTTTTTTTTCAAATATGAATTGATTGGTTAAAATGATGCACAGGTAATTAAATATCTATGTATTGATAATTCAATTTACCGACAATTGAAGTAATTTTTTGGAAGTTGTTTGTTTTGCACTCATAGCTTCGGTGTTTATTTTTGTTTTTGAACTTTTCCATGTAGCAAAATCAAATTAATCTCTTTCTCACGAGATAGTTAATTACTATTTGATTAATAATGGGTTGAGGTGGTTTTAAGGTGGTATGTCATCTCGAATTTCAACATGCTGTGCCTACGATGTCAACAAATGATCTAAGGATGACCTATATCGTAGATCTATCTATGAACTCACGAAGGTATACATATATGTATCAAAATTAAGCAGCTCCTAAATAAAATTTATTTCGCCCATTGTTTTATGGGTTTCCAAAATCTAAATTTGATAAATTAGTGGGGTCAAAACATTAAGAACTGAAATTGTTGTTTTTCAATTTTCTAAGATTTGCTGAAAATTAGTGAGAAAAATATCTTGTATTCCTCACTTACATCTCTTTTTGCTTTTTAAATTTAAAAAAAAAAATAAAAAAAATTGAAAATTTTAAATTAGGAAATAAAATTTTGAAATCCATAGATGAAAAGTTGGGAGAGTTTAGAGAAATCCATAAAATTTAGCGATTTTTTTTTTTCATAATCTGAAAAAAATTTAATTTATTTATTTTTGAGATGGAATTGGAGGTTAAGTCTGCCAAATTATCACTGATCGCATTACAAAATTGGGGAAAATTTGGCTAAAAGTTTCAAATTTCGAAGATTTTTTCAGCTCCAAATTGTTATTTTTCACAAAGGATTCCTTGCGTAAGTATATAAGTGTATACGTGTGCGTGCGTACGTGTGCCTCTACCTCTGCAGAACTATATTATTATGCATAGATGCATACTTTTCATCATACAGTTGAAAAATATTTCACACTGATTGTTACTCCGTGAAAAGTTAAAGTAAAGTTAAAGTAAAATGCCTTTTCAGCTTTTCTGAGTAATTTGAGAATTGAGAGGAACAGAAAGTGCATTTTGTTTG